GGCTATTATTCAGTCTGTGGCTCCGCCCACTCTGCCTTTGCAACGCTGACTTCACTGTTTAATGCAGCATTTGATTGGCTGGATCCAAACATGATCTTTTTCTATGTAGATGGACACAAACCAGAGCAGAACTGGGGCGTGCTACCATGAAGCCAAAGAACATAACTTCTGTTCGGATGCTGCAGCCAACAGAAGCAGCACAGCGTTGCTTCAGAAATGCTTCTCCGTGATGAAACATGTTTTCTTCCACATTTTCTTCCAGATCCTAAACGGGACACAGAGCAGAGAGTCCCACCACAGGAGTGGCTGTTTGCAGTTCGGACAGAGTTGGTTCAGGGATTGTCAGACGTTACTGTCAACCAGCTGCTGGACCGACTCTATGGGAACGGTGTCATCAATGAAGAAGAGAAGAACGCCATCAGAGCACAGATGGGAGCTGATAAAGCCAGGGAACTCATCGACAGGGTTCGCAATAAGGGACATGATGCCGCTTCAGCTCTGACCACTGCTCTTAATGAGGTCGATTCATTCCTTTTCAGAAACCTGAACCTGAGGCAAAAGCAAGAAAGTGTGCAGTTGCGATGATAACCCCTGTAAGAGCTGGCCTGTTCACACTCTCAGATTGCCTTTGAAGGAGAAGCTCTGTTGTTTAAAGCAGCTATGTTAGGGAACGGTCTTTGACTGTAACTGTTACCCAGTGTTTGTCAAAGTGTGGGGCGCACCCCCCTGGGGGGCCGCAGAGGCATTTGTGGGGGAGAGCGTCTAATGTGCTGAACTAGTGTTTTACTGTTCAGGTCAGCAGCATCACTGGTTCACCACAAACTCATGTCTCTGAACTGTATAACCGCTGTGTGATCAGGAAAGCCCTCCTGATCACAGAGGACCCTCTCAGCCCTCCATCAGTCCTTCCAGCTACTCCCATCAGGCAGACGCTACAAAGTCCCACTGGCCTCAAACACATCTATTAAACATCCTTCATTCCCACTGCAGTAACCACCCTGACCAAGATGAAATCAGACACTGAACAGGACGTTTTATCGGCTGCTGTTTCTTTTAGACGTCTGTGCTTTGTGAGCTCATGTCTTAAGTGTGTTTTCATATGTGTCGTATTTTTATTGTTGGAGCCTCGTCAAAGGAGAATTTCTGTCACTGATTGGGACAGACAACAAGTCTATCTATCTATCTATCTATCTATCTATCTATCTATCTATCTATCTATCTATCTATCTATCT